GCCTTGATGCTATCTCGCCACTGACAGCTGCGGGGTTTGACCGGTCCATACCCCATTAGCGGCTCCGTTCCGCGCCGAGCAGGGGCTTTGTACGGACGAGGGCACAACAGTGGTCCCCCCGGGACCGTTGCGTGACGAAATGAACCGCACATTGTCCAATTATCGCCAGTGTTACGGCTTAATTGAGCCCAGCTGACTGTCGGCCTGTGCCCCGCTCCCGCACCCTCCTCTCTCCGTCCCCCTCCGTGCCGCCGTCACCACGGTCACGTGACCTCTTCACGCGCTCGAGGGCATGCTGAGGGGCAGGGGAAGCTCAGCTGCTGATCTTTGGGGAAGCTAATGCTGTGGCATGCGAAGTAGGAATCATACCGAGGTCGTGGCAACATGCATTTTTGATGACGTAACTGATATGGGTCTAATGCCAGGTAAACATGAACACTATGAACGACACTGTCCCTTTATATCTGGTTATGCACGACCACTCATTCGCATTTTCCTCACTTCTACACATTCACTCCCCGCAACCGACCTCCCCGAAACTTAGAGCACTACATGTTTTTTTCTGGACAGTTGTGGTGTATTGACTCGTGTCGCTGTAATGCCGTCCCAACAGCCTGGGCGCGCCTCTGACCACGACATAAGATCTGCTCCTGCTGGTGCTGCTAGTCCAGCACAGGGCGTGACGCATCTCGGCAGGGCAGCGCGTGAACGCGTGACTCACTAGCCACGCTGCCGCGGAACGACGGATAATTGGCGGCCCGCATTGTGCGCGGATCACTCGGGCTACGTTACACTCTGAGTCAGCGGAGGCGATGTCAGGCATCGCTCGAGCTACGTTACACTCTGAGTCAGCAGAGGCGATGTGAGGCATCACTCCAGCCATGTTATACTCTGAGTCATCAGAGACGATGTCAGGCATCACTCGATCCACGTTACACTCTGAGTCATCAGAGGCGATGTCAGGCATCGCTCGAGCCACGTTACACTTGGAGTCAACAGAGGCGATGCCAGGCATCGCTCGAGCCACGTTACACCCTGAGTCATCAGAGGCGATGCCAGGCATCGATCGGGCCGCGTTACACTCTGAGTCAGCAGAGGCGATGTCAGGCATCGATCGGGCCGCGTTACATTCTGAGTCAGCAGAGGTGATGTCAGGCATCGCTCCAGCCACGTTACACTTGGAGTCAACAGAGGCGATGTCAGGCATCGTTTGAGCCACGTTACACCCTGAGTCAGCAGAGGCTATGTCAGGCAGCGCTCGAGCCACGTTACACTGATTAAGCAGAGGCGATGCCAGGCAGTCCAATCGCGGGCATGCCCGCGTTCGACGAACTTGGGGATGATCGAGTTGCCATATTGACCTTTGGTTTTTGTTCGTTTTTTTAGGAAGGGAGGTGCTTCTCATCACGGTTCGGGCGTTGGTCTTGCAATGGGGCCTTGGGAATGCAATCATGAGAGCAGGGGCCCCAACCGATCCCCACCCAAATCAAACTCAACAACCGCCAAAGACGGCGACAACTTCCCTCCATGGTAAGAAGTGGTCGTGGCCGCCACTTCTGCAGATGTGCTAGCTCCCAAAACAGACCCCACACAGCAGGCAGCTGCCCCCCGCCCCCCTCCCCCGGACGACGTGTGTGGTGCCTGAAACGCTTCATTAATTAGTCGCCTAGTTGTCACAACGGCGCCACGCGCACCAGCGCTGAGCCAATTACGCTAGAAGCGCCGAGCCATGGCATACCAATGCCGTCGCAGTGAGGGTACACGCAGTGCCTTTAGGTACCAGGTGAGCTCCGGGAGTGAGGCACGCAGTGCCTTTAGGTACCAGGTGGACTCCGGGAGTGAGGCACGCCTGGCTGATGCTGAGAGTTCGGAGCAGAATGGTGGCAAGATTCTGTGTGGAGCGGTGACTCCACGATCTTGCCTGCTGACTTTGAAATTTCACAAAATTCACAGCGAGATGGAAATATGGTATATGGTAGCATACATAACATGAAAATAAAGACAGAGATATAAGGCACACACACACACACACACGTACATGCATATATATATATATATATATATATATATATATATATATATATATATATCCTCTCTCTCTCTCTCTCTCTCTCTCTCTCTCTCCTCTCTCTCTCTCTCTCTCTCTCCTCTCTCTCTCTCTCTCTCTCTCTCTCTCTCTCTCTCTCTCTCTCTCTCTCTCTCTCTCTCTCTCCTCTCTCTCTCTCTTATGATGAACATAGAAAATATGCATGTATGATATCTGTGCACACGTGAAAGCATTGGGTGCTTGGGTTGTAGTTGTATGATGTCGGACAGGCCGTCTGCAGGCTAGAGCCCGGTTGATTTCTATGCCTCCCTCAGTGGTGTGCAAACCTTTTCTGCACGGATGTGTCGCGGAATTTGAGGAGAGCCTCTGCACCTTTCTAATTATAAATCAGGTGTCTTGGATCGCTCGCTAATGCGATATAATTGATCCATAGCTCGTACGTCGAGGCATTCGCCGACCTTAAAACCCCTTTCCCAGCGTCACACTTTCACCGGAGGTCAATAAAAGCTCCAGCCAATTCAAATACCGGGGCCTAATTGCCCGTTATTCAATCATGCGTTTTAATCTAGCAATGCTCTTACGTCGTCATTTGATCTCGTGAGTGGCTGGCGGGGGCAGGCATGCTATTGTGCAAAGCACTAGCTGCCCACAGGCTTCCAGTGAGCCGCAATCACGTGACTCTGATTCAGATGGGCTCCTCCATTCCGGAGATTTTGCGTTGCGTACCAGCCCCAGGCTAAATAAACGACCGGTTTGCGCGGGGTTTCGAAGTGCGGTCATCACCCTCTAGACGGCTGGGTCCTCCGTGTGATCGGGACCTTGGAGCCTCTAGTGTGCTAGTTAATGTTCACAGCGCTTTATATCTTATCCTAGTTTTGATTACTTCGGCTCATGTAAACGCCAAGATCGAATTGCTCCCGTATTGCGCAGTAATTTATTCAAGGCAAGCTTCGCTGCGGCTGATACCCACATGGGGCGTGATGACCGAGTGGTTTGCTCGTAGGACTCCCACGTAGAGGCTTGGGTTCAAACCCGGTTGCGCCATAACCCCTGAGTGCTAATATGTCTAATGCAGTCACTGGCGCTGCTTAAAAGGGTCGTGAGGTGCGTTCCCCTGCAAATAAAAAGCATAAATAGCAACGGTATTGCTATTGCTATTATATGAATGCTATTAGCATGCTTCATGTAGCCTTTTATTCGCAAGGACAAACCACCTCAACAATGTTCCTCAGACTTAAATTCAATTTAACCAACGCTGGATGATTTCATCTCACGTTGGCTGACAACCCAGACCAAACTACGATATCTGCTCCAGAGTCTATGGTTTCAAGGGCCACTTCCTGACCTAGAGCATTCTGGAGAAAGCTGCACCAAATTTACATATCTGCAGAACTTGAGTGCTGCTTCTCAGGTCAGAATTAGGCTTCTGGGAAATCTTATCACGAAATTCTCTCGGCGGATGCTCAAGCGGCACCGTGGAAGAAACCAAACAGGGTCCCAGAACACCCGCCGGAGATAATGGATGACGACATATTTTACCATTCATCAAACCGAGAAGCGTGTCATGGGGCTACGCTACGGTGCGTTCGCTTCGCGGCAACAAAATATCCAGTGACGTCATCATTACCTGCCTGGGAAACCGGTGGCATTGTCACTGTTTTATCGTCGTTCCCATGCCTGGCGGCTCGTGGGAACTTTTCTCTCTCCACTTCCTCGCCGCGTCGGGCTAATCTTCAGCAGAGACGGAAGCAAAGCGCTGCTTCTTTGATGTTTGGGAGGCTGCGAGAACACTTCTAGAGAATGCGACGTTTCTGTGGAGTCAGAATAGAAGGAAAGTGGGAGTCAAGACGCCTCAGACGCCCCAGAGTCAAGACCAAGGACAACACGAGAAAGCACACTGGGCCTCGGAGACCTCACAACACGACATAGCACATCGACCTCAGAGACCTCATAACACGAGATAGTCAGTGCAATCGTTAAATGGTTGACCAAGTGTGAGGTCCCAAACTGTTCTCCCAAAACTTTCAAAAACACACGGGCTTAAAGATGTCCAGTGGGACGTACAAACCCTGAAGGCATGTCCATCCCCCTTTCATGCGTTATGCTTTGTTTCGGTGACTATTGCGTTCGGCCTGCTCATGAACGCTTCTACTGCATATTGACTGCACCTTCCCTTTGCTTTACTTCACCTCGTCATCTTGCGGGCAAGTCATCACCAATGCATAAGTAGCACAGTGCACTATGTTATGGAATGGGTTTCGGATATTTAATTTTATATGAATTCTGACATAATGCTGACATATCTAAGAGCCTTACGAACCGCTACGAGAGACGGCAACGTGGGTGAGCGTGTCTGTTACATGTAAGACCAGTCTCGCGACGAGAGAATATCCCGTACATTGAACGTAGAGGGTATGCACAAGCAATATAACCTTGCGTTTATCAGAGCCGGTACAGCACCCATCTTCGATGTGAGTCGATAGCCTCATCGACAGGAATACGAGCGTCATTACCATGTAAATAAACACACCTGGGTATCATAACTAACGTGCATCAGATGCCTCAGGTAGTATATGCTACTGCTGCTGGGTTAATCATAGAGATGTACCAAACACTCAAGAACTATAACTTCCGCCACAAAAACTGACGCCACTAAGTGTCGCATGACAACATGCTAATCAGCAATGAATCATGCAGCGGGTTTTTAACTTTCAGTCCAGGTTGCTGCCACAAGGAGGAAGTTCCGTTATCTTATGCAATCTGCGCCTCCCCTACGTATTGTACCTCCAGAGAATCCGCATAATTACTTTCCCTATGCGGTTCACAACGCAATGCGATTATCACTTGCCCCTACGAAAGAGGAAAATGACCTAGGTCGATATAAAACCACCCGTGAGGAAAACGCCACGCACAGTCCATTTCAACTGTGAGCCCCACGCGGTGGACGAGGAGCATGCACGCTCCAGTGGGAGTGCTTGTGGCCTGGTGTGTGCTCGCAGTAACCGTGGCGCTCAGCTCCGTTAGCGGACAGGCGATGGTGAGTGCCAGACGTTCGTGGCCGACAAACTCCGGCTGGATTCCGCTAGAAGACGCGCGACAGCCGTCCAGACAGTCGATGTTGTCTGAAAACTACGGCAACGCCACCAGAAACACTCGGAAGACTTTGGGGACGCACAAAGAAGGCGCAAACGACATCAAAGCTGACGTTCTAAAGTCATCGTCATCATATTTCAGTCGCGCTTCTTTCGAGGGCAGACGGCGGTCGCCTGGGCCGTCGAGCTCATCTGAGGACTACGACAGCGCCATCGAGAACATCCTGGAGACGTTCGAGACGCTCGGACGGGGTGCGAATGACGTCACGTCTGGCGTCATAAGTGACGAGCCGGCAAGCGGAGCTGACTACCAGGCTTCTGACGCCGCCGGCCGTCTCCGTGTGTCCCGGTCCTGGCCGCCCAGAACCGCACCGCCGGACGCGCTCCAGCTGTGGCCGGACGCCGTCATCCCCTACGTCATCTCCTTCAACTACAGCAGCGCCGAGCTCGCCGTCATCACGCGCGTCTTCCGGCTGTTCGAGCAGACCACCTGCCTCCGCCTGGTGCCACGCACACACCAGCGCGACTACGTCCACGTGAACCCCTCCGGTCGCTGCAGCGGCAAGGTGGGCCGCGTCGGTGGCCGGCAGCGCATCAGCATGCCGCACTGGTGCCTCAACTTCGGCAACGTCGCGCACGAGCTGATGCACGCGGCCGGCTTCTGGCACGAGCAGCAGCGGCCCGACCGCGACCGCTTCGTCACCGTGCTCTGGGAGAACATCAAGCCGCGCTACCGCGAGGCCGACTACGCGCGGAAGGCGTGGAGCGACATGGGCGAAGGGAGCTGGCGCGGGCCCTACGACTACCACTCGATCCTGCACTACTCGGACAGGGGGTCGGCCATCGACGCCGCGCACCCGTCGATGGTGGCGAAGCGGGCTGGGGTTCGGGTCGGCGGGAGAGGCAACCTGACCGACATCGACATATGGAAGCTGAACGCGCAGTACCACTGCTGGGGGAGGCCGGAGCGTGAGCACGGCAGGGTGGTCATCTCGCTGGAAGACCTGCGGAAGCATCGGGAGAACACGCGCGTCCGACAGGGATTTAACGAGGTGGAAGGGCGCAGAGACCACTTGTTGGACGAGCACCACCTTGGCGTGTTGGGTGCCTCCCGGAAGTACAGGCTCCATGCGCCGTTCTTCCCTCGGAGGTACAGGACCGGCAAGCCAGGGTTTTTCTAGACGCTGAGCTGCGACGGTGCCGGTGATGGATGGACTGAAAGCTCACTAGTTCAGATGTGTTGCAGCGACATCTGCCGAGATATTTCCGTGAATTTACGACGAGTAGAATGATTTGGGACAGCTTCGTCATCAGGCGAAGTCATCTCGTCCAGCGCATGAAGGATGTGTGCTGTCAGAGAGCACAGACAGGGGCTGTATTGGCCGAGCTCGTGAATCTACCCTTCGACAGTTCTGGCTATCGTTGAACCCAATGAAGCGAAACTTACCCAATTCATAGCAAAGAGATGGAACAATATTTGCTCGGTGGGCTTTTCATATGACTGCTACATGGCTGGTTACAGCTGACTTCACGGAATCGTTTGGTGGAGAACTTTGTGAGAAGCGTCAAGTGTCAGTTTCAACACAGCGGATTCATGTGTTGCCACGGCAACCCAGAAGCCGAGAGACGCGTCGCCTGGTTACAGCGGCGATGTCTGGAACGTTCCCAGAAAGGCATTCCGGTTTGATTTAACTCTGAGAGGCTTCGGCGTACAGCAACGGCGTTCAGCGATGCGTTAAAGGCTGCCGGGCACAATTGAATATATCTCTGGAAAGATGTCGTTGGGCGGCACGAGCTGTCGTTATGAGGGATCCAGGCGCGCGCATGCGCAGCAGGGCTCAGTCAGCACGGGTTCACTTGAAGCGTACCGGACAGACGGGGTGGTGTTTCTATGCTCTTTCCTAGTTTTAGTCTTGAATCTCAGCTCACATAAATAAAACAAAACGAGTAAAAACAGATGAACTGTGGTTTTAAAATCTTTCAAGCGATCGGAACCAAAGAGCACATCACTGTTCAATGTGACTATTCTCATTTAATAGTGATGTAGTCTCATTCTCATAGATGTAGAATAGTCTCATTCACATAATTTCTGCGTTCACCCGTATTCTCCATAACGTTCCAGGCAGCAGCGTCTTTCTTCGTCCTTCGGCCTTTTCGACATATTTCCTTCGTCATCGGCGAAGGAAACATTTTCATTATATTCCGTTTCCCATTTGATTGGTTTGCTTGCACGTGGAGAACATCGCCACCTGCCTCTGCTTCCACCACACGTCAGAAAATCCCAATTGTGTTTGGATCGCCCGCTTCGGCGGCGGTCGAGCGGTCCCACAGCGACCGCACCAACCCAGCGCAATTACGCCACACTCGGCTTTGGCCCGTAATCCGCTTACGGCAATTGTGGGTCTGCAGGCCGCCGCCCAAAGTCGAGTCGCTCCCGAAATGGCGGGAATTGGTGGATGCGAGCGTAAGTACACGTGTAATTAGATGTGTGCATCGGGGTGGAGGAGCAGGACATGATCAGAGGATGCCAGGAAGTAGGTGGAAACAGGAATGGAACTCGGCGTGCAAAGAACGAGAAATAAAGCATGGATGGCTACAGATACCTACCAAGAATGCACAAAGCCTGAAAGATAGGTAGCGTGAACAAGGGGGCAAACCACCAATGATATAAATGCCATCGGAAGTATTGAATTACGTTTGGGAGGTTTTCGAGCCTACTCATTTGCAGTACACGCCCAGCTGTTGCGTCAGTGCAAAGCTTTGACAGTTACGTGTCCGCTTCCCCTCAGCGCCTGCTAATAATCACTGCCAAAAACTGCAAGCACATAATCACGGGAAAAATGAAAAGAGGTGTGCTTCCTAACACGGAGACAATGAAAGGAAAGTGACGGCGCACGCACCCAGCGATGGATGGATGTACATGTCTAAACGACTGTTTGGGAGAGCAGCAGACCCACCTGTTCATGCATCGCGCTCACCTCCACCAATCCCATGATCTCTTCGACATCCCATCACCATGCCCAAGCGCCGCCGCGATCCGCACGTGCCCAGCTGACATTGAGCACTCCGTGAGTCATGGCTACACGGCCGCTCCCTGTCTTATGGACGGCTATTTGGAGGAGGACGCTGGGTGAATCACCAGATGCGCCCTGCCCAGGGCCACAGGTGACCGGTCGCTGTCGCATCGCCGGCATGCCATGACCATTGCCGACGTCCGAACCAGTCGCCGGCGTCGGCAAAGGCCCCATCAACAACCGCTTTAGCCGTGTTCGGACCGGCTAGGTGCGGGTACACACCCGGGATCATTTGTCCCATGTGGACGACGCACCCTGCTTGTAATGCGCATACCATGTATCGCTTAGGTGCCAGCGACTCGCGACCCCGCCGGTGTAAACCTTCCGAACAGGTCTTTGCAATTAGCTTGGAGCAGGAGTTTGCCGGGAAGTGTCAACGCGTCGTGTCTTAAGCGCATCTGTTATGCGAACCGCGCTGTATATGCATGATGTGGCATTGCATGGTGTTGGTTAGGGCTGAGCGCGACTTACACGTGCGCAGCGGGTGAAACCAGCCGCATAGGGGGAGGGGGACGGGGGGGGAGGGAGTGTAAGGTGCACATAATAGGTTATTAAAAAAAACAGGGGTTTCAGTGTTCTGAAAGGAGTGCGATATAATTTTTGGTGGATATCTCAGAGCATTTTTGCAAGGACACTGCGTGGCTGCCCAAATCGTGCATTGAATCGTTCATTGCCTTATTTCCCCAATTGCAAGGAAATTGCTGTACACGTGCATTTGACATTCTGAATCTAAAGCATCTGATTGAATATAAATATGCTCTTGCATACCATCCTCCAAAACTTCGTGGCCTTCTGATGCTCGAGTCTGCCGCTTGCAGCTTACGGTAGAGTAGATATGCATACAAGTTTCTGTGTTTCAGCCAAACAACACCGATTCAGAACTGAACCCACGCTTCAAGGCCAGCCCATGATAAGTGTCGACCCTGCTGGGGCCGGGCCTGATTCAGCCACAAAATATGAACCATAACTCGGTATGGCCGAACACTAACTCCGCTCTCAAATAAGCCATGAAATGCATTGTCTCGTTAAACAGCCGCAATGCGTCATGTGGGCACGCTTTTAGTAAATTAAACGGCGCTGGCCATGTGCTCCGGCGTTCGCAACAGAAACGCCAGCTGTTTCAGGGACAGCACGGCCGTCTCCGACCTTCGGAGCTCTCGCTGAGCTGCTGAGATGAGCTGAGCAAGCGCCAGCTCCTCTCCGCCCCGCCGTCGGCTCTGCGCGGGCCCCACCAGCCTCCGCATGCACCGCTCACCCAGTGATACCGTAAATCGAATCCGAATAGCCCCGCGTCGGAATAAATTTGATTTAACGACGCTTTGTCGGGCCCGAGCTCCGCTCTCACCGGCGCAGGGGCGTAATGATGAGCGCGGATTGAATATCGGGTGGGGTGCACTCATCACGCGCGCAAATTATGGCGCGCCGCGGCTGGAGAGGCGCGGACGCGCGGTATTAAGCCGTGAGCTCGTGCAGTCGGCGACGAGCAGGCGCGCGGCGGGGTAACCAGACACCGACCGGGCGCGGCTGCGCTAATTTCCGTCCGCCGGCGGTGCCCTGGATGGCGATGCAATGGTTGGGTTCAGGGGCGCACGCAGGGACGGTTGAGGGGCGCACTCTGTCATCCTTTAAACGGAAGTAAAATGCGTCTGGCATGTGCTGTGTTCCAAAACATAAACAGCAATCGTTTTTTTGGCGGGAGTCTGACCGACGTCACTACCCTTTTTATACACGCTGGCTTCGCCTCTGGCTTGATGAGGCGAGGCCGCAGTGTGAAGATGCCCCCGGTGCCAGCCCCGGGGGCATTGTTCTACGTGCTGCTGATGAAGGCCGCCGGCGCCCACCGCATTAACCCACTTTACTGCCCGGCTACTGCATGCGTTGTTCTTTTGACGGCGTGCTGTGTCGCCCTTTCAGTATGCATCAGGAGGCGTCGGAGGCTTCCTGGTCGTGAACATGTGCCGGGCTTAGTACTGCGACGCCGTCTGAGCGGCAGAAGCAGCGGTACGAGAAACCGAGAAGTCATAGAGAAACAGCGAAACAGCATTACATCAGAACGAGTCGGCAAACAGCGTCATGCCAAAAACGAGGCGGCAGCACTTCATTTAAAAATGACGTCATGCTTGGGACTGCAAAAAGGCATGCACGAATTATAATATCAAACTCCAGCGCCGGCGAAATGCTTAACAATAACTCGAGACAGTATCACAATTAACAAACGTTCTCGTGGGATTAGACTATTTCCGTTCCATAGCTTGGTCAATGTGAACGACATTAGAGTCGCCCGTTTACCGCTGCGTCGTGCAAGTGCTAATATGAATGGTGATACAGGCTTCGTATTAGAGTTGCTGATGATGAAGTCAAACTGTGTTTCCACTGCTGTGCACACACCCCAGCCATTTTCCCTTTGCCTGAAGGTCAGGCTTTGAAATCTTCGGTACAGCTGTGTCAATCGCAACTCTTCTGCAAGGTCAGACAAACTCACTGCAATGTTTAGCACATTCAACTACTGTAAACATTACATACAATGGTCAGTTAAGCGCAGAGGCCACAAATTGTCGTTCTATTGAGTTCGAATTTCTCTTATGGATTTTCAGACCATCTATGGATAGCTCAATCGTTAAAATCCAATATCGATGAAATTTAATATCGATGCGAATATTAGTTTGGACGTCGGCTGAAAAATTATTCATACCATGACACACCATCTTTCTGACGAGCTTAGGGTGGTCATCATCTCGTGGTTCGCACAGCCCAGCATGTTGGTACAGCTATATCGGCGTGAGTATTCCCACATATTCCAAGGTCCGACACAGAAAACAGGGTCCGTGGGAAAACAGGGGCTACTCCTTCCACCGGGAGACGGACGGTGAGGGAGATTGCCAGCGAGCATATCACGACGCGTTATGTTCGCCGCATTATGCCCAGCTGGCGTATTTGAGCTGCCATGTCTCCGCATTTGCTGGCGCTCCTGTGCAAACAGCCGCTGTTGGCACGGATTTTAGGCCCTGCCGTCGACGCCAGTTGCCAGGAGCGCAGTCAGCGCAGGCGATGAAGGGGGATATCTGAGGTTGTCACTGAGACTTTACGACGCATTGAACTCATGAGGC